AGAGAGAGAAGGAGAGAGAGGGGGGAGGAAGGGGGTGAAAAACTCACGTCTTGAAATTGACTAATCCATAGGGTAGTCCAGTCGGTGTGTTGAAGGCGGGTAACAGTTTATCTGCCACTTCCTTGGCCTTTTTCTTGAAAACCTGGAGAAAGAAACAATGGTACCATTCACATATGCTCTCCTACAGAATTACACAAATAGTGTCAGTGGGGGCGTAAAAGATGGTGGTTATAACTGTTTACTACATTGTATCCCGCTGCAGGCCAAGAGTTCAGTTTATAACATGCTCGATTTTAGTCCCGATGACACAGATGCGAATCCTTAGTTGGACACACACACTTTGACGTTGTGATATCCAGGGTTAAACATCTACGCCATCTTGGATCGTTGCTATCGGAGACAGCAGCCGCTGAAATCGGAGGTCCCGCATCTTTTACAACGTTATATTGTTGAAAATGGCGTGCAGTCTCTACGGCAGGAGAACGAAGTTGGGTGAATGTCTGTAAACAGGAGCGGAGATAACGTTCTGATCTCAAGACAACGCTTAGTGTGTGAACAAAACTATATAACCTAAGAGTATAAATCTGCCAGAGTTAGAGCGAGAACATGACAGATTTACATAGTGGGAGGGAAGGATCGGGAGAGAGAGAGAGAGAGAGAGAGAGAGAGAGAGAGAGAGAGAGAGAGAGAGAGAGAGAACAATAAGACCACATCGATGTCGTTGATGATAATAATAGGAATGTGATCTATAGTGCAATTTCTGGCCGTAAATCACCAAAAGCCACCAACAGTGTTTCAAACAGACAATGTTCAATAAATGCCAAGCACAGTAGCAGACAATTGTGTCTTCCCTGAGTCTTTCTTTTCAGCATCCATCCCCGAGTGAGACAATCTGTCACTCCAGCTGATGACCACACGCCTGCCCATGACATCGCGCCACAAGGGGACGCAACTCTCTCTCCAGAGAGAGAAGGGACCGATCCCGGAGGGGACATGGTGGATTAAAGACGGGAGGTATATATTTGTGTGTGAGAGAGAAAGGAGAGGGAGGGGGAGAGGGAGAGGGAGAGACAGAGAGAGAAAGAGAGAGTGAGAGAGAGAGAGAGAGAGAGAGAGAATTGAAAAAAAAATCAGAAATGAGAAAGACGATCAGAGAACAAGGCAGTAGGAGATGCA